TGGATTAATTTAAGCTATAAGAACAGTTAGCAAGAAGCCTGCCACAGCCATACAGTTTGTAAGCAATATAAGTCTCTGTGTTTACTTGGTTGGGTCTGAGCAGCTGTGGGACTGGCAGGTGACAGAGATTTATTCTAACTGTGGGCAAGGCAGGAAAACTCTAGCTACACTGTGTTATCAGCAGCTCAATGAATCTGCAGTGAAAAACTAAGTTATACGGGACACTTTAAATGGCATACAAGCTTGGCTTAGTAGTGTGGATAATGTATTAAATGTTTTGCGTTTTCCAGGTAATATGATAAGCACTTCATACTGTTGAGAGTTTCTAAAATTTTTCTGAAAATAATATTGTTGCTTCTCTATGAAGAAGATGTAGAAATCAAGGCATGATGCTCAAACCCACAGTGCTAGAAGTTGAATCTGAACCCAGAATTCCAGCACCACAGCCCATACTCTTGAAATGTTGACATTTCAAAAATTAGTAAATGTAAGGTCATTGTCCCTTTTTTTAGTTATCTGTTTATTAGATACGTAAGAACCATCTAATATTGATAAAATGTAAGAGAAAAATCTTATCAATGCATATGAAACACCATAGAGCCTGACAGAGAAGTCAGAGAGAGAGATAGTAAACAACCTGCACAGAAAACATTAAGTGAAATAGACAAAGATGAGTGACATAAATAATGGGAGACCTGAGAAGAAAAGAATAAAGATTGCCTCTGAAATCTGGGAAGAAAAGCAGCTATAGACTTTTACTCAGTGGAAATCATGGTACCTTTCAATACAAGACTTTGTTCTTTATTCCTTCTCATAACTCAACACAATGGATTTTCCACTTGGGTCAATGCAAAGCCAATGAGGGCAGTCAAAACATGACAGTGGAGAAAGGTTTGTCACCTGCAACAGATTAGAACAACAGAGGTTTTCAAAAGCTGTGCTCTCTTTGAACAAAGCAAGTATAGGGATTTTATACCAGGATGCCTGTACCAAGTCGTAAAGGAAAGCTCTTTGCAGAAAGGATGCATTATAGAGAATGCTGTTTGCTGCCAGGAACAGACATGTCTCACTGTCCAGAAAGTCTAAATTTTTTTTCTTTTTTAAAATTTATTTATTAAATTTAATTTTATATATCAGCCATGGATTCCCTTGTTCTCCCCTCTCCTTCTCCCCCACCCCAACCCCACTCCCCATTCCCATCTCCTCCAGGGCAAAGACTCCCCCGAGGACTGAGTTCAACCTGGTAGATTCAGTCCAGGCAGGTCCAGTCCCCTCCTCCCAGGCTGAGCCAAGTGTCCCTGTATAAGCCCCAGGTTCCAAACTGCCAATTCATGCATTGAGGACAGGACCCAGTCCCACTGTCTGGGTGCCTCCCAAGCAGATCAAGCTAATCAACTGTCTTATTTATCCAGAGGGCCTGATCCAGTTGGGGGCTCCTCAGCTATTGGTTCATAGTTCATGTGTTTCCTTTCGTTTGGATATTTGTCCCTGTGCTTTTTCCAAAGTCTAAATTTTTAAAACATTTTAAATGCCATATTCAGTAAGTCTTTGAAGTATTTAAAGATTACCTATCTATCTGAAATATATCTGTTTACCCAGAAAACTTAAAATTAACATGCTGCAAGTTTGACTATCAGTGATGACTAATTATTCCATTACAATTTAAACAAGTTGTATAAACATAATACCTTAAACAAGAGTAAAAATACATACAGTATAACAAAATTAACTTTAAATTTGTATCAATAAACTAAAATCCATAGCAATGTAAAATATTTCTAAACAAGCTGTTGCTCTTTAAAAGGTTCATTAATCTAACCTTTTATCCTATCATATGTAAACTATCTCCTTTTTTCTTTAGAAAGAGATTGCATTTATAATCAACCTGCTTTAAATAAAAACATTGGTTTTTTTCTGTCCCACACCAGAGGTCTCTTCCTTTTTGAAAAAAAAGAAAAGGGGAAGTGCTGTGGAATGTTCTGTATGTTAAATGTGTTGCTCTGATTGGTTAATAAATAAAACACTGATTGGCCAGTAGCCAGGCAGGAAGTATAGGCGGGACAAGGAGAGAGAATAATTCTGGGAAGTGGAAGGCTGAGGTGGAGAGACACTGCCAACCGCCACCATGACAAGTGAGATGTAAGGTACCGGTAAGCCACAAGCCATGTGGCAAAGTATAGACTAATAGAAATGGGTTAATTTAAGATAGAAGAACTAGATAACAAGAAGCCTGCCACGGCCCTACAATTTTTAAGCAATACAAGTCTCTGTGTGTTTACTTGGTTGGGTCTGAGCAGCTGCAGGACTGGCGGGTGAGAGAGATTTGTCTTGACCTTGGGCCAGGCAGAACCAGAAAAACTCTAGCTACAGCTGTTGGAGATGAACATCAACTGAGCATCCTCAAATTAAGGCCATGGTTTGGGAAGTAAAGAGGCAGCCCAAATTCCTAGGCATGCTTAACTCAAGGTCATAGAGAATAAATTCAAATGGTTAAAATGGGAAATAGGAATCTTGGGGATGTTTAGTCTCACTTTCTCTAGAAAGTTTGAGCTGAAACCAAAGGAAAAATACTTTAAATTGTCTTAATGTGGGAATTTACTCATAAAGGTACCCAGACTCACCTAACTACTACTACTCTATGCAAATCATTGTTATTACATCACTTGTCATCCGTGAATCAATATTTTCAAATTTGTATCTGCATATATCTACTCTGACTTTCCAATCCAAATATATATTGATGCATAACACAGCTCTTCCCTCAAAGGTAATAAGACCCAGTTTATTCTTGAGCCTAATATATGTGATCATGGCTCAGGAGCATGGATTTGTGTTGTCCTGAATAATGTGTTCCTGCTTGGGAATAGTTGTGTGACATTTTTATAGTTGTAGAACAAAAGAAAGTCATAAATAAAGGCATTCTTTTTCAGATACAGTGGTGCAAACAGCAGGTAGACAGGTTATGGCAAAGCAGAGAAATCTTTGCTATAGATTTCACATGCTGTCTGATAACGTTTTTAGTTTTGATAATGATAGAAACTAGTGATCTGCTGTATTTCAAATGTTTTACTTGATGGTCAAGATGTTAGGTCAGGCATAGGGTGCCCACTAAGTAGGTATTAAGGGATAATGATTTAGGCTCTGGATTTGTAATAATTCAATTTTGCATAGTACTCAGTAATAACCAACTAACCAATTTGTAATATCTTGAACATAAGTGTGGAACTTTTGAAACTTCAGCTTGCATATACAATTGCCTACTAAACAACTCCACTTGGCTGGTAATCACTTTAATATGTTCAAACCTAGATTAATTCTCTCAACCAACCCTCCATTCTTGTTGTTTGGAAGACAGGAATATCATGTATGCACATGTAAACATGCCCAAGTTTCACACCTACAAGTCACCCTACCTAGAGACATCCTCTTTTAATGTTATGGTGTAAAGTGGTGACATGCCACTTCTACCAATTTTCTTGTGTTAGACAGCATAAGGTTTCCTAACAAGGTTTTACCCTCAAAACCCGTTAGTATATCAGTTTCCATGGCAGAGTAGGTTTGCTAATGAGCAGACATCAAAGCATAGATTTTCCTGTTTATTGCTATAGGTCCAGTAAATCCATCCACAGACTTCCTTAAAAAGGTTAGAAAGGCTTCATTAAAAAGTAGAAGAATAAGAGAACTAAAAGATGTCACAGGAAGGCACAGAGAGATAAAGCATTGCTACACTGAACATAGAGCAAGAGACTCCCACACAAAGAATATGAATTTTAATTATCAGGTGACATAATCTAGAAGCACCTGAGAGAATCTCACTGAGGGACTGTCTACAATAGGTTGGCACAGAGCATGTCTACAGGAAATTATCTGGATTGCATTGAGAGGGAAAGCCTCATGCACTATGGATTGAACCATTCCCTAGGCAAGGGATTCTTAACTACCTAAGAGTAGGGGGATATAACTGAGCACAAATAAATATGTATTCAATCATGGATCCATTCATTCTTCTCATTTCCTGATTATGGATGTGATATGGCCAGTGCCCTCAAACTCCTGTTTTCATACTTTCCTGCTGTGATAGGCTATGACCTGGAACTGTGAGCTAAAATGAACCCATTCATGCACATTTCGCTCTTGTCAGGGTATTATATCACAGTTAAAGAAAATGAAGCTAAGACAGTGGGCAACCACCTGTAGAATCTTGAAAGGACAAGGAAACCATATCTCCAAGTGATTTTCCATACTGTTCCCTCTGTTACAATATTTCCTCTTTATTCCCATTTCTATACCATCCCTTTAACTAACTACTGTCCAGTTTTCATAACAACAGGTTTCATATAAAGTATTAATACCCTAGAGACCATTTCCCTGAGTTTTCTTAATACTAGTTTAATCCTGTCTCCTAGCATGCATTTGATACATGGGTGAATGGCTGGATGGGGAGAATTGAAGAATGAGTGGGTGGATTGGTGGATGGGTAGATGGATGGATGGATGGATGGATGGATGGATGGATGGATGGATGGATGGATGGGTGCATAGGTGATGGCCAGATGGGTAGTTGAGTATCTAAATAGATAGATAGATGATGAGTAGATGGGTGGATGGGTGGTGCTAAGATGAATGTTAGGCAGAAGTATGGGTGATGTGTGAATGGGTGGGTGAATAGATGCATGGGTGTTAGACAGATGGAGTTACAAAATTTGTCTATACAGAATTATGCCACTTGAGGACACATTTTAAACTAGCTATGGTTTTAATGGTCTCTTTTCTATTCATTTTTAGAAATTTGACCCCAAAACCTCTGTAATGTCTTTTCAAAAGAAATTAATCTTAATCCTGACAAGTGGTTCAGCATAAGTTCTAATCTACCAGTACCATTTGCCACCCTGTGATTATTTTTTATGCTTCCATTTTACACTTATGCCTGGCCACTTGTCACATCAGAATTCCTTTGAAGACTGAAGATTGGATTGCAATCACAGATGAAACTTCAGTCCTTAGACATGTGACTAACACTCATTTTCATCAGGCTTTCCAAAGAGTGACATAAATAGAAGACTCTGGGCATGAATATCTCCTGATTTTCCTGGGAGCCACGGAAGTTATTTTAGTTCCTTCTACGTGCATTTAAATAAACCCCAAATTTAAGGAAAAGCTATGCTGTGGCACATTCCTCAAGATCATCTTATTACTCAAGAAAATTCCAGAGCTCTTCAGACTCACACTTTTTCATGATCATTTCTGACACCTAAAATTGGGATACAACACTCAAATTCTAAAATTTCATGTATATAAGTATGTTTACACATCTATACATTATATTTTACCTGACCAGTAAAGCTTGCCAAAATAAAAATGGAGCCTGGAAATCCCCCATTCAAAACAAATTCACAGGCTGTATTTTGGGAAATAATTGAAAATAAATTTTAAAATCCAAATATTTGCAAGTCTCACTAACTCAAAGGCTTACGGCTTTATGCATAATCCATTATTTTTATCTTTTCTTTCCCTCACTCATTTGCATATTTACTAAGTACATTTCTTTTAGTGACAGCCATGTAGTAAACATGAGAGACTGGCAGCTGCTAACACAGTAGACATAGTGTTTACCCTCAGATACCTTATAAATAAGAGCTGTAACAGAATAGAGTTTAACATTATGTTGGGAGACCATTGTCTTGAGCAAGGGGTGAAGTAATTACAGAGTCCCTGAAGTGGTACAGAGCAAGGGACTGTGAGCACATACCAAATTATCGAGGGGCAGAGGAGGTAACATACGTGGTCCTATAGTCAGGGCTCTGCAAGGCAGGTGTGTCTGATGTTCTAAGGTGCTTCTAGACCTATGCCAGAGGACCAAATGGAGAGGATGCTGAAGGACCAAATGGAGAAGCAGGGTTTGGTTCAGTTTGGTTTGGGGATCTTGGGTATTTTTTAGCTTTTACATTATTCAGGAGATTGTGAACTCCTTCGCTCACTTACCCTGCTGTCACCTAATATGTCTGCAAGAAATGAAATCAGGCTTGGATTGGAGGGGCCACAGCACAAATAAGGCTGTGACAAATTTATTGTGAGCAATCAGACTTTTTATATCTTTATCAGAAACAGAATATAATGACAATTTCCAGGATCAATACAGTTGTAGTTTCCAGGATACAATGAAGTTTGCAAGCTATACAGGGTACACAAGATTAATATCTAAGACCAATTGTCCTGTCAAGACTTCATGTATCCCTGACTACTAAGGAAATAGAGAAAAACACAAAGCGGCCTGAATGCTTCACTGCCTGAGGGAGTACATGGGCTTCTCAGGAACTAGGAAGCACACTGAGCCCCAGGAGCCATGGACTGTAACCGAAAAACTTATGACACAAGTCTCTCAAGAAAGCTAGGCCAGGCCAACTCCATGGTTCCCTGCAGGAGATGTGGTCTAAGGTAAGATTTGAAAATGGGCATAGGTAGAAAATAGAATTCAGACAAAAATAGCATAGAAGGGCTTAGGGAAGGTTACAGTTTGGAGATCAGGAAGACAGAAAGCATCATACACAGAAAATCCAGTTTCAGCAAAATAAAATTGAGCTATTTAAGTGGGATTTTTATAGGGACTGCTTTGGAAGTAAGTTATCTCCTGAAAACCTTGAGGAAACTATATATATGTGTGTGTGTGTGTGTGTGTGTGTGTGTGTGTGTGTGTGTGTGTGTGTACATGTGTCTACAGATGTGTTTATGTTTATATATATGTATATTTGCTTATGTGTGTATACATATGTATAAATTTATTTGTATGTACCCATTCTATGTGTATATGTACATATGTGTATATATGTGTACATGTATATATGTAATTATGCATGTGTGTATGTGAATATGTAGAAGGTAGATAGATATATTTGTGTGTGTATGTATATATGCATGTTTATTTGATTGTAGGTATATATGTGTAAATATGTTTGTGTGTGTGTGTACACATATGTACAGGCACATCTTTGCTCTGAGTGGACTTGTATAATACTGAATATTTTATTTAACACTGACTTAAAGAGAGAAACTGAACACACATTTGTGTGAGGGTTCTTCCTCAAATCCACATTTCAAAATTCTAAGTAAGTTGAGAGTCACTTTATCATACTTGGAGTTTACAAAGCTTGTCCTGTCTCCTCTGGAAAACAAAGCAAGCTACAGAGAAGGTCAACAGACCTCAGGAGATGGTGCACATACATGTGCATGCATTGATGGGAAAGAGAGAACAGGGATCAAAGCACATATAGAATGAAATGTGAGGCTGAGAACTGGATAGAGAACATGCTTTTTGCTGCAGTGGGGGATGCAGGAAGTGGGACTCCGCTAAGGGCTAAGACAGGAGATCCTGGTTAAACTTTGGACATGTAAAGTTGAGATACATATGAGTTTTGTAAACAGCTGCATATGTGAGCAAATGAAATGAAGAACCGTTTTTATCCTTTGCCGTGTAGACAAAAGTTGAAACACAACACAGAAAGGATGGCCCTGTGAGAGGGTATAGAATCTATGCCATATCATATCAGCCGCAGTACCATCTATCATATACCATATCATAATCATATCATCTAGGCCATAGATGATAAGAGAGCAACACCCAAAGACTTAAAATGGAAACAGAGAAAAATGACCAGGGAGGTGGGAGATGAAAACAAGGTGTGTTTGGAAAGAAGCCCAAAGAGTAGGGTGTTTCAAGACTAAATACATTAGAAAGATGTGCTCAGAAACAACATGTATGTACTTCAACAGCGCAATTTTCTCAGTCCAGATAGGGGGGATTTTGAGAAGCATGAGTTAGACAAAAGTTCCTTCAGTATGGCAGTACTAAGTACCATGATGTAAATATTGCCAGAGCAGTCTGGTGACTTTAGAAGAGTCTTTATTAAATACTGGCTAGGCTGGCACTTGGGCAAAGAAGGAGGTTGAATGCCAAGGGAGCATACAAGGGCCTTTCATGTGCACAGTCTCTGCTTTGAGAGGCAGGGACATGTCGCTTCAGATTCATTTCCAATTCGAGGTCTTCAGCTGAACACTTGAGGACATTGAATAAAGGGAAAGTCAGGTCCTAACGGGTGTCCTCCATTACTGTCTCTAGCAGTATTCCATCTGACCTGCCTAGACTGATTCACTTATTAGGCTGAGTACTCTGAATGCCAAGGTCAAGGTCTGCTCAGGTTTCCTCAGCATTCTTTTGCACAGACAGGCATTAAGTGAAGAGAAAGGCATTTTAGAGATTTGCAGGAACTTGAGAATATGACTATACATTCAATTTTGAATAAACAATAACATCTCTCAATTTTTATATGTTAATTTTACCACACAAGCCATATAGTAACTGTCAATACAGTAAGGGGTCTGAAGACAGCTGAGTACACCCATATATACAATGTCCTTGAATAAAACCTATCTCTATAAACCTGATGTTTATGCATATTTCAATTTTAGTTTCATGAAGAGTGGGTTTTTTTCCTTATGATTTCCAAATAGAGATGTCAGTCACATTTTGATTTTTGATTAATTTCTCCATTAAAGGAAAAATTAAAAAAATAGCATATTATAAATTATGTACAACATTACAATAGGTCTGTATACACTGCTGCCAATTTTATTTTTATTACGAAATAGTGTAAGTGAATGATATTTGGAAATCCTTTCATAATTTTCTCAAAAATGACCATATCATTACAAAGGAATTCTAACTACTGATCTTCATACACAGGCTCTTCAGTGAACTTGATAGACACATATAGTTAATGGTAAGTCACCTTTCACACAGCCTGTCTTCACTTAAAAATTCCCACCAAAAAACTTCCTGCTACCCACAGATATAGAAAACATTGCCAGCATAAGAAAATGAACCACTCTATTTAGGAGGTCCAGTTAGCTAATGGGATTCATGTTGGTTTATAAGATTCAGCCTAGCATCTATAATTTTTCTTTCCTTGAAATTTTAGACTTTTGTAAAGATTCTGGATACATTATCCCAAAGGACATGGTGCCGTAAAAATTAGAATGCTTTAGACAGCCTATTCATCTCCACAAAGAAAATTAGCCACAGTTCTACAATGATGATGTATTTATGACATACATTTATACACCCTCCTCCAATATTCCCTCCACATTGATTGATTGAGCTCTTTTTTCTAAGCAACATGCTCAGTCCCCTTCCTGTATCATGTGACAGGGAGGAAACCCATCGGGAAGAGCCAAGCACACATCATCAGCCTATTTTCTGGCAATAGGCATTAAAAATTGAACAATACAATGTTGTATCTAATTTCAAAGATGGTTCTCCCACAAATTCAATTTATAATATTATTTGATTTCAATACTTTTAATAGTACCAAAGATGGATTTGTAGTTGAGAGAATTAATAAAAGCAAAATATAGTCCAGTGGGTAAGGTGTCTGTCAGAGACAGTAAAGTTGCTAAGATTGAAATCAGAAAAGCCAAATAGAAAAATGAAATACAAGCTGCTAACGATACAAATAGATATTTTTAAAGTCCCAAGTCTACCAGCAAATAAAGATAAAAGAAATGTGTCATTCGATGCTGGCCAGAATTGAGCTCATAGCGGCCTCCAATAATCCAGTTACACTCAAAAATGAACTTACCAGGATTGACTTTCCCTTTCAATTCAGCTTTGACGAAAATAAATGAACTACAAACTTGGAAGGGCAAGCTATCAGAGAGTCACTTCCTTCTGTCCTCTTCAAAGCCTAGCTTCTGTGGTAAAATCTGGGCTCCATATCCTCCTGATTCATTGTCCTTGACAACAGTCTTCTAAGTCAGTTTCCCACATTGGAAAGTGAGCTGCAGTGATCTGGGGGGAAGGGACAGAGGAGAGGTGCCATGGTGTTGACAGGCATGTGACTCCTACCAAATAAAGCTTACATTATAGTTTCATTATCTTATCAGAGCTCTATCAGACACCCAGCTCCTTTCTTCCAGGCAGATCTGTGAGGCACGATCATGAGGTCCTCATTACTTTTATATGGTGGCATGGCCTAACTATATAGAAAACAACTGAACATCAAAACTGTGAATGTGCCAATCCTCCACCATCCTCAAATGTCCTTATGTGCCCGAGCTGATCTTGCCTAACCTGAGGTCTCAGGATCTAGCTGAAATAATCATTCCTTCAAAGAGGATTCCTTACTAGCAGGAGTTTGTCCAATGCAGACGGAGTGAGCAGTAGGGATGGTATCTGGTCCCTGCTACTCCAAACAGGAGGACGTCTCTCTTCCCCTCCGTCGTACTTGCCGATGTGTGTGCTACTTCTATGTTGTCTATACAAGGACAATTCTTGGTAAACTGGTTTAGTTAATTGGTATTGGCTAATTAATTATTTCTTGGTGTTATGAAAGGAAATTATTTTTCTCTAGAGATACTAAAGACCTAATGGTAGTGAGAAAAAGTCAGTCATGTGGGATAAAACTTTTCTTACGATGTTTCCTCTAACATATTAGAAGAATTATATCCAGACCTGTGGTACAGTCCCTGCTGTTCTTGAGACAGAGGTAATAGATCATAAGCTCAAGGTCTGCCTGAGCAACAGGGTAAATTTAAAGCCAGCCTGGGTTATTTAATGAGCTCTTATCTCAAAACAAAAAAATAAATAGAGGATTGGAGATATAGTGTAGTGGTAAAGAACTTACCTAGAAAGCAGTGGGCCTTGTGTTCAATCCCTGCTACTGTACAAAGAAATTATTCTTAAATATCCCAGCTCAGTAAAATACGAATCTAACGATAAATTTGTAAGGACCGGGTCAGACCATGTCATGTAATTTCGCTCCATTGCTAGTCTCCTTACTGTCCATTGAGCTTCTGTGGCTTGCTGTACATTAATACGGTTCCTTGTCGTGAAGACCGGTAAACCACCACGACCGCCACTCTTTCAGGCAGGCACTTCGGTTCCACGGTGCTCGTCTGATTCATGAGTGATGACTGTCACAGGTGCAGCACTGATGTTATTTCATTAACTTTCCTTCATCTCTCATTGGGGTTGGTGTCCTGTTTCCACTTAGTTTCAGTCATTGCTTATAGATTTCCTCATATTGGTCTGTCATATGACTTGGTGAGCATCTCTCTGGCTGGGCTTGCCTTTCTTCCTAATGGTCATTTACCCCAGTTTGTGACAATTATTCATCACAATTTCAGTGATGTGGGGTATATAAAAAAACACCCTGCATCTATGGCTCCTTTGCAAGTCCTTTAGAATGCTGCTTTCTTGAATTGGGAAAATGGATGTGGCTGGATTATCAGTAAAGATCAGATAAACTGTCAAAATTAGGTACAAAGCAAGAGGTGCCATGACAATACCAGCCTGGGAATTTGAGCTACTTTGCCCTGGAATCTGGTATATAAGACACGCCATCTCAACCCTTCTGTTAAATATGGATGGAAGTAATTGTTTTTTTTTTTT